GATGTTGTGAGAGACAGTGTTGAAAGCCTTGCTGAACTCAAGGGAGACAATATCCACTGCTCTCCCCTCATCCATCCAGGTAGTTGTTTCATCGTAGAAGGCAATCAGGTTGGTCAAGGATGATTTACCTTTAGTGAATCCATGCTGACCACTCCTTCTTGTCATCCATGTAGATAGAGATAGCCTCAGAATGAGGTGCTCCATTCAGGGATTGTGGTGAGGCTGACTGGCTGGTAGTTCCCTGGATCTTCCTTCCTGCCCTTTTTGAAGACTGGGGTGACTTTTGCTTTCTTCCAGATGTCTCTTGTGATCACTAAAATTTTCCAAAGATGAGCAGCCTAGCTATGGTGCCAGCTCCCAGCTCCCTCAGCACTCATGGTTTCATCCTGTTAGGGCCCATGAATGTGTGGATATCAAGTTTGCCTAGGTGTTCTCTAACCCAATCCTCCTTGACCAAGGGAAAATCATCCTCCTGACATTCCTTTACCCTGGTCTTCTGGGTCAGAGATTACTGAGGGGGTATTCAAACCTCAACTGGCCATGGCCCTGAGCAGCCTGATCTAGTTGACCCTTCTTTGGATGGTGGCTGGGCCACATGACAATCAGATGTCCTTTTCATCACAAATTATTCTGTTGCTCTCTGAAACAGGTTCATTTAAAAAAGATATAATAACTCCTGGCTACTGGAGCACACTGCAGCCTCTCTGTTTTGCTCTTTTAAGTGGCTTATGGGTAGCTGTGGAACTTCAGCTACAGGTTTAATGCAAAAATACATTTTTTATTTGTCCATTTTTTATTTTAATACTGGACTTAGATGAGCAGGGGATGATACTGTTAGAACTGAACAATAACTTTGAGTGAGTTCTGGTATGTATTTGGATACCTTTAGATGGTTAAATCACAGGCTAAACACTTCAGATTTGTTCATGGGGTATGAATGGTCTTTATTGTCTGAATTGGGCAATCTGACTACAGATGAGGCTTGAGGCAGTGACATTGTGGTAGATGAATGGGTGATGAGACCTAGCAAGGAAAGAGTAAAAACACTGTTCACTGAGCATATGTGAGTTTGTTCACTGAGCATATGAGTTTGTGAACCATAAATAGTTGCAAAAAGGAAGTACAGGGTATGTGTAAAAAGGCAGTGGCAAACAGGATACCATGTCTCATGCCATCAAAGAATCAGTAGAAGCACAGTAGGCAATCTTCCAGTCAGCTGCCCGCACTGTATAATCAAACATGCACTCTGTCAGAAAAGCATCTGGTATTAGTTGCCAAGTCATATTGACATCAATATACAGTATGATTGTGAAAGCATCAAGTAGCACGTGGAGTTGTCTTACTATATCTACACTAATATGGTAGTCTGTGTTTTCCAAGTCATAGCAAAAATTAAGTGTGCATCTCCGACTCGGGCTGTTTGGAGGATATTTGTACTTTCATGAACTTCTGAGGCAAACTTGTAGCCTTTAATCTCTGAAACAGACAAGGAAATGTAAATGGCCTGGATATAGACCTTACTATATTCCTAATTGGATGGATGAGGTTTTTAGTTTCATTGCTGTGGGTTCCTTTGCCATTTATAATGCCAATAATTAAACATTGTATTTAGTCTTAAACTGCCATTCTTTTCACTTGATGTTTGGATGTGAGCCAACGTGTGTCTGCAGCACAGAAAGCCAACTGTATCCAGGAGTGCATCATCAGCAGTGTGGTCCGCAGGTTGAGGGAGATGATTCTGCCCACTCTGGTGGGACCCCACCTGCTGTGGATGCAGTGCTGCATCCAGCTCTGCAGTCCCCAGCACAGGTAGGACATGGACCTGTTGGACTGAGTCCAGAGGAGGGTCAACAAGACGATTAGAGGGACAGGGCACATCTCCTATGAGGAAAGGCTAAGAGAATTGGGATTGTTCAACCTGAAAAAGAGAAGCCTTTGGGGTGACCTAATTATGGCCTTCCAGTCCCTGAAGGGAGCCTACAAGAAAGAGGGAGAGGGACTTTTTACAAGGGCATGTAGTGATGAGACAAGGGGGGAATGGTTTTAAACTGAAAGAGAGTAGGTTTAGATTACATGTGAGGAAGAAATTCTTTACTATGAGGGTAGTAAGACACTGGAACAGGTTACCCAGAGAAGTTGTGGATGCACCATTCCTAGAAGTGTTCAAGGCCAGGCTGGATGGAGCTTTAAGCAACATGGTCTAGTGAAAGGTGTCCCTGCCTGTGGCAGAGGGGTTGGAATGGGATGATCTTTAAGGTCCCTTCTAACCCAAACCATTCTATGATTCTATGTTTGATTTTCTTGAACTGGAATATTTCTTTAAGGCCCCAACCAAAGACGGTTTACAAGACATAGAGCTGGGGGAGCAAGACACATTGTTCCTTTAAGGTAGCTAATGTATGATAACAAACTAAAATAAAATTACAGTGGCATAATCAAAGGACATTCTGCAACTTTCATATGTTAACAAGTTGAAGTAAAGATTGTGTGGAGCCTGGCTGCATCAAAAGGAATTTGAGACTGCTTTTATACTAGCTAAGTTTTTGCTCTCTCTTACCTTGCATCAGGTAAGAATGTGCCTTTTTTTCTCTAATAAAGGCAAGTCTGGAGTCCAACCAAACATAGCTTTTGGTTAATGGTGATGGGTTCCTAATCTAATCCACACAATATCAGTGTCTTGCTCTGGGGAAATTCTGAAGGCGGGATGAGAGGGAAAGAGGAAGAAGATGAGCATCTGATTTCTCTACAGACAGGTGACAGAGATGTTTTGGGAATATTTTTATTCCTCTGAAAAGCAGAGTGGTTACTACCAGGAAGAGACAATCTTCATTTCCTCTTGTTTGCTGGCAAGACAGGCTTTTTTCTTCATGCTGGTTGCCTTCTTTGTAGAAAATCTGGCAAAAAGCAGGTGTGATCTTCAATGACATGTGGCACCATGCCTCAGGCTGTGTCAGTGGGAAGCATCCTAAATGAAAGGCTTCAAGTAGAAGGATAGGACTTCACCCTGAACAAATAGACTTTCCCTCCCACTGCCTTGAGAGCAGAATTTTGCTCCTGGAGAATGCTGGCAGACAAGATCCAAGCTGACTGGGATGGGGCTTGAAGATACAAATGAACAATGAGACTGTCCTGGGGGCACTGACTTTGCTTGGAGAAAATTCTCATAGTACATTAGGACTTGAAGTTATGAGTTTTATGAATTTTAGGCTAACTGAGGTCAGTCTTTCTGTTTGTAAGTTAAATCCAACTTGCTCTTTCACTGCTGAGGTCAGTGAGTGCTGCATTTGTAAAGGTGAAACTATTGGCTATGTTGAGAGATGGGAAGAGGTCTGCACTTTCATCTCTCTTTCTGTGAAGCCTTCTTGCCTTAGAACAAGCTATCCCTGTGGGTAATACCAGCTGTAGGGCATTAGGGTCTGTGCAACAGGACACTTGCCCCTTTCATTTCCTTGGGACCATTTTTTCCTGTGTCTTTATTCTTCATTCATGTGGGCTCTTCCTGAGATCTTCCTGCAACCTTGCTCTCACTTTTTCCTACTTTCTTGCTTAAAATGTGGGATTCCACACTGGTTGGGTTTCCCAGGTCAGCAGAGCTACTGTGCCTGGGCTGGCATGGGCTGAACAAGAAGCCAGAACTCAATGTGCACCGGAAAGGTGACCTCATGGCCCCAAGGAGTCAGCTCCCACCTTTGCTTGTGGCTCTGGGATGAGCTGGAAGGTGGCTCCCAGTCAGAGACTGGCTCCAGCAAGGTGGCTCCCAGCTTGTTCTGCACACAGGCAAACACAAAGCTGTTCTGATTTTCTCAACCCCAGGCACCAGCCAAGCTTGGGAACTGTCTTGCAGTTGTGCTGCTCAGAGAGACAGACAGGAGCTCGTGGTTTGGACTCCTGGTCTTTCTTCCACAAAGCGTGAAGTGAACAGAGCAGCTCATGGCCCAGACTGTGGGTAGGGAGTGTCTCCTGGGAACCAGCTCTCTGTGCCCACAGGAACTAGCAGGAGACAAGAACTGGCTCTTGGCTGGTGTTGCTGGAGGAGTTGTACAGCAGTTAAGAAGGTGTATAGCAGCTGGGAACCTCTGGCCTTGAACTTGTCTTTGGAACATATCTTTGCCCTATGTTTTTGGCTGAGACGAGACTATCACATTGAAGTGGGCACTGTCATTTGAGACAAGTACTTCCTCAGATCTCATTGCTATCTCATTGCTGTTTTCATTATTTAAATATACACACTGTATGGTCCTTATTACTGTACAGGTTGGTGTGTATGGAATAGTTGCTTCTTCACCAAAACTACTTAGTGTTACTGGTCTGCAGAGTGTTTTATAAACCAGCTATGACTACTAACCTGAACTAAACTTTGAAGCTTGCATTTTGGTATGATCAAACATACTTGTAGCACTGCCCCCCTCTTTGTAGAAGATATTTAGGGTTAAAGTCTGCTTAGTGCTGGAGGTGATGATAAGATTTTGTTCCTGCCTGCCATGTCTCTCCCATCCCCTGTCCCACGTTACTGCTCCTGTAACTAACTACAGAAAAGTGGATCTTGAAATAGCTGTATTTTTGTACAGTTGATTTATTTGAATGTGGAGAACTCTGAGAATAATTCAAACGGCTGAATTATAGTGACACAAAACTTTCATTGTTAGCAGCTTGAAAAGATTATGCTGAAAATCGGCTAGCTTTAGTCATCTTTTTATAAATTGTCTTTTAATTTTAATCTTTTCTTGCTTGGGTTTTAAACTTGAGATATCTGCGTTTCTTCTAATCAAATGCTGTGTGTATAAAACTTCACAAATAAAAAGATTATTCAGAAACTGTTTGTGAGGGTGATGGCTTTGATGGTTTTGGTAAACAAAAAAAAATAAGTTTGCTTTATAGTATGTTAGTAATTTATAAGAGCAGTATTGCTTTGCTGTTACAAAATATCATATTTGTTTATATGCTTGTCTCTATTGTTGTTTTATTTTATTATTAAATGAACATTTTTCTTTTCTTCCCAGAGGATGCTAAGCAAGTTTTTGGCCAGACCACAATTCATCAACACATTCCGTTTAACTGGAATTCAGAGTTCGTACAGCTGCATTTTGGAAAGGATAGAAAAAGACACCTAACATATGCGGAGTTCACTCAGTTTTTACTGGTGGGTCTAATACAATACAGTTTCTCAAGAGTAATAAGGAGGATGCAAAAAGTATTTGCAAACTTGCCAAATACTGTGCTATTAGGAAAGTTGAAATATAGACCAAGTGTAGGCTTTTACAGTCAGAGTGCTGGATGTGTACAGTATGTTGATAAATAGGATATGCTATTGGTAAAATTGGTGATTCAGGCTAGCTGGAGGTTTTCTCCTTTTCCTTTGTTTTTGGCACCTGAATGCAGAAGGTGATTTTTTTCTACACTGTTGTGTAGACAGAGACATGAAATTAAAATTCTAGACTTTTATGTCTGAAAATCTCCTGTTTATTTAAATCCATGAGTCAAAGAATGCTACTGAACATTTTGGACACACTTGCTAAAGTAGTATTAAGAAGTACTTCTGTCTGTAAACAGCATGTGTACCAAACATGTATTTAATTTAGAGCTGATATCCAATAAAAATGTTTTTTTGCAAGCCATTTCCACACACTCTCAGATAGGGCAATGCTACTTAGTTTGCTTGTGGTATATAGAGAATAAAATACTATTTTTTTGCAAGGAATTCTTGGCTGTTCATACTTTGGATACTTTGTTACAGGAAGTAAAATATTGTGCTAATAAAAAAATAGACTATCTGTATTTCAACAGTACTGTTAAAAATAGTTTTCAGTAGGAAAAGTGATCCTCTAAATGGTGAAACACGTGAGTTTTTATTTGAATGCCTCCTGAATATTTAATTAATGCCTGTATTAGTATTTACACTAGAGAGTTTTAAAATGGGAACCTGCTTCAAGATTGCAAGGTTTCTTTTTTTCTTGTTTACACAAGTATGTTAGTTCACAGTAGGAGGTGGTATCATTTTGATGAGGAATAATTAAGATAATGCTATTGAGACAAATGTTTCAAATTGACTTTGTAGAACAGAGCCTAATTAACTTTGTATGAAGAGGACGTCAGGTATCACATGATTAAATTGTATTCCCTCAGGTTTTGTATTGACTATTGTAACTCCTAAGTAGCTAAGGCACAGACCAGTTTTCTGACAGAATAAGGAATTAGAATATCTTCCTAGCTTTCTAGCTTTGGAAATGAGTCCTAACTACTAGGCTTTCTCATCCTGCTAGGGGTTTTTCTCTCTACTATCTGAAAGGACTTTTTTTGGATGTGATCATATTTTGGGGATAGTTGTATTTCATTTTGGTGTGTCTTGCCACTGCCTCCTTTTTTTTTTTTAAACTGCAAAAGTGAATCTTATCTAGTTTCAGAGGCAGAGTAAAAGGTTGTGTTGGAACATGTCAGTGGTCCTCATAAGCCAGACAACCCTTTTGGTGATGATCTGTGTAGGACAAGAAAGAGGGAGGAAGAACATAAACCTGGAGAATGAGGATAATAATTCTGAGTGTCCTTTAGAGAGGTGAGATGCACTCAGGATAAGTTCCAAGGCTGCTAATAAAGATGCTCAGGCAGCAAGGACTTTCAAATAAATTAATTCTCCTAAGATTGTTGAAGATGCCTGCTATCAGTACAGTCTGTTAGGATGTTCAGTCAGTCGCAGAAACTGGGTACATCTGTTTACTCGCTTTCTGTAAATCTTTGAGTCACATAAGTTTCCCTGCTAATTCTTGCCTTTCAGCGGTTTATTATAGATGCAGGAGTTTGGGCGCAGAAATGGTTCTCAGCACAAGCTGGAGAGTTAGTGTTCACAGGCACAGAAGTCTTCCTTTAAGCTCTGTAACCTTTGGTATTCAGCCTTTTCTTCTGACATTCTGCCTGTGAGTGAGTCAGTATTCTTGGTCTGGTGTCTAGACCTTGGACCTTAGACAACAGGAGACCACAGGGGATACCAAATTACCTTTCTGCATTCTTGATGTGTGAATGCACTTTACATGGCACTTAACGTGGACCTGATGGTTCTGTATGGTGCTTCAGGTACTGCTTTGTAAGTACAATGCAGTTTGCAAATTTTAATGTAGTAATCTAGCTAGATTCAAATGCTTTTACATTCATGTTCGATACCTGTCACAGCATTTGAGCTAATCATTGCTTCTGGCAATGCTGAAGGTACTTGGAAAACAACATTAGTATGTTTTATCCATGCACTAGATGGATCTCTTGTGGCTTTAAATAAGAAGATTTTATATGGGACTCTGAATATTTGTCCTGCTGTCCAGCACTTTTTCTGTCTGCAGTAACAGAGATGCCTGAAAGTATAGTCTCCAAATTCCTTGGCTCTAATACAGTTAACAATTTATTTGCATCAACTTAGAGCTCAAGGCGTGTTGTTTCACCCTGCTTCTCATTTTGCTAGCTTAAAATTAGCTCATGTATCTACAGTATATATCCATCTCATCTGTTTGGATGTGGTCATGTTCCATCATCGCTTAAGTGGCAAGTCTGCCTTATGAGGAGCAACATCAGCCCCTTTCACAGCGTTTAAAATCTATTCCACAGGATGAATTTTAACATATGCTTATATGTGGACCTGGTAAATCCATTTCCACATTGTCTGGGAATTTATTTATGCCCAGTGTATTAGTTTGTGAAGTAGTACTCTCTATAATTGAACCCTGGGATCTACTCCAGTGGCAAGAATTGTGCTGTACCTGGTGACTTGTAGATCCACTGGGATGGAACACAAACATAAATTTCTACTCAAGTGGAAAGTAGAGAAGCTTTTAATGAGCGATAAGTGGAAGCTGAGGTGAAATCTCTAGATAGGATATAATTTCATTAAAATTCTGGTGCCAGCATGCCTGCCATGATGTACAAATTAATTTTTCACAAAGTCATATGCTACTTGGGGGAATTCTAGACTTCCAACATCAAGGAAGAAGCTTGTTTTCTATGTATATCTCAGTTTACAGAAAGTCTAGTTGGAGAAGGTTCTTTAGGATGTGTGATTTGTATTGCAAAGTAACGAGGATTGTGTTTCTTTAAACCTTAATCTGTCTAGGTAAACAATATGGGACCAAAATAGGTGAAACAATAAAAATTGTTGCAACTCAGATAGCAACTCTGAAGACTACAGCTTTGCTTTATTGTTTTTCAGTTTCTTTTTAAGGTGGGTTTTTTTTATATTAGCTGCATACACACAGCACAGGTGATGTTACAAACATCTCATAAAGAATTCCCTGATAAATTGCTGGTAGCTACTGAGCCTCGTTTTGAAACGCAGTTAGTCATGCTGTGAGTTGTCTCGGCATTCAGGTGTGAAGACTGAGGGGCTAGCCTTTCTTTTGAGATAAACACTTCAAGGAGTTTAGTGCATTGTTATGCATAGTGCAGTGATTAGAGAAGTGACATGTCTGGTTTGTTTGTGACAGAATTTATAGGTGATATTTAGTTTTGAGACTAAGTGTGTTACAGTGTAATGGTCTGCATGTTCTTGTATGCCATGCTGCCATCCATGGTCATGGTTTGGGAATGTCAGTTTGCTTAAAGATCCCTGTGCTTCTTTCCACTTGGTGTAAGTGGAAAACGTGCAGCACTGCTCAAAATAACTGTAGCCTAAAAGGTCTCTACCTTTCTGAGAAGGTGGAGTCAATCTTCTCTATCTATTTGCAGTATGCTTAAACCATTTGAACTGGAACTTAGATTCTGAACTAAGGAAGAGGTGTGAATAGGGAGTTCCAGAAGACTGACATCATCCCATTCAGAGTTTTGTCTTGCTGTCTGTCTGCAGCTAAATGGCTTTTTTCTGGTTGACAAAAAGATGAGCAAATGGCACCTTGACCAGGTGTTTTAACCAAGTGGGATAGTTCTTTCTAGTGGGTTCCACGTGTACCAAGAAGATTGAAGAGAATCACGTTAGCAAGGAGAAGATGTGTTGTTTTGGCTAGTGCTCAACTGTAGTACTAGTAGCCTTTTTGCAATTAGCTGAGTGATGATGAGAAACATGCACTTAACGTATCTCTTTGGAGTGTGAGCCCTACTTTGTTCTGTGGCTGAGATGTCACTGTCAGCCAAGGTCCCACCAATGGTATACATATCTCCAGACTCACTGAGGGATCTACAGGATGGTAACAGACTGGACTTCTGCAAATGGTGTACAGGTTGTTTTACTGCATCTGAGTGCTGGATTCTTACATAAAAACTGCCAGCAGTTTCAGTGGTTAAAGCAAATAGAATGAGGGAAGGAGAAGAAAGCAATATTCAGAGTTTCCCATGTAATCCTTTTGCTAAATAAAATTTATTTTTTCTTTGGTGATGCTTCCATTTAATGACAAACACCTACCAGGTGGCGAGTATTTAGGATACAAGAGTTTTTATACCTAACTCCTCTTCAGAGCTCTCTGCCTCCCAAGTAGCTGCTTGCCTCAAGCTGACGAAGTCTTTTTGTGTTCATGTGCTCGTCCATCATAAACCTTCCAAAATTACCTGCTTCTGAATTTCTGTTCAAATTATAGTCTCAAATGAATTGAAGTAAGAGCTTACATGGCTGCATCCAGCCAGAGTATTATTGCTGAATTGTAACACCTCCAGGTAGGGGTCTGTAATGTAAATGTGGCAGAACAGAAATTGTACCACTTTGAATTATAACCCCCACAAGCATTTCCCATCAAAAGAAGAAATTTCTGAATAATTTTGTGAATGAAGCATGGATCAGTCCTTTCCCTGCACTCCTTTCCTCCTCCTGCCTAATGTAGTAGGAGGTTTTCATTGTACCTTTCAGGTCATGGTACAGTATTCTAATTAGAACCAAAATTGGGGGAGTCAGGAGGCAAATGAAAAGACAATCATAGTTTGAGTGGCAGTGTGAGCTGAATGAACAGAAGGAGAGAGGGAGGGGCAGATGCAGGTCTCTGGCAGGTCTGATCCTACTCTGTCTGAATTTGCCTTTTGCCTTTCACTCTTTATTTCCTTGAAGGCTGCTGTGAGACAAATATCAACTTACAGGCGATCGTATCACTATGAACACAACATGATGGTGGTTCTTGACTAGCTGGAGTCTTGGATTAATACGTCTTTTAAGGCATATATTTGCAAATATAATGGAAATAATTGGATAGTGTCATGGTCCACCACAAGACTTGCTTAGTATTGCTGACGTATTTTTGCTCTGATTCCATTTTCTGAATTACTGATTATGAACATGTATTCAGACTTAGCACTATATTTCCAATGAAGAAGTTTTTATAATCCCTGGAGTTTAAAGGGAGGACATGACAATGATTTGTTTTCCTCCATTCAGCTGAGAAATACAGATTGGGAACTCGAACTACATACCAAAAGATATATTTCTGTTTTTTGCAAACCTGTAGAACTGAACGAAAGTTCACATGTATTATCAAGTTACTGTCTGTGCTTGATTGTTTCTTTTAAATGAGAGAAAAGAAAAGTAGTCTAACAGTAATTTAAGAAGAAAGGGTGAAGGTCACAGTAGGAAACATACAGCTTTGAGAGATTAAATGCCTTTTTTCTCCTTTTTTCTCTCAGTGGTACATTTGAATCACAAAATGAGATTATTGGGGGGTTGTATCAGATAATGCTTATGCCCGTTACTACTGTTGAAATATTGAGAACTGATCTTTAATCAGTCTCGATACAAGGAGTTCTAAATTAAACTGCTGGTGTCTTTTGTAGACAAAAACCTTTATGTTTTAAATGGGGATGCTTTTTGAGGGAATGCTTTCCAGATTAGTTGGTTTCTACATGGAAATCTCTGATGATTGCATTGTCCTCATTCAAGGAGTAGCGAGTGCTTTTACAGAAAGTATTTTGACCTACTGTGACACATTCAATAAACTGGATAATGCACATCATGGAACACTTTAGTGCTCATGAGTAGGAGATTATCTGCACTGGGGTGTTGATATGTGTCCTCCGTTTCTCAGTTAAATGAATTGCCCGACGTAATGTCCAGAAGGCAAAGAAATCATGTTGTCATCCTAGATATTGAGCTCAGTGATGGAGACCATACATGCTCCTGATAGAAAAGAAATTGAAAACTTAGATATGTAATATCCAATTAAAATTAGATTAAATGTAGTCCTGTTTTGTTAAGTATGAGAGATCTTGTAGAACTGCATTATTTATATTAACTCTGAGTGTTAAGATGATGATTTTGAACTTAACTATTTTTTTCCTCTGTATGTTTTCAGGAGATTCAGTTAGAACATGCAAAACAAGCTTTTGTGCAGAGAGACAATGCTCAGTCTGGAAGAGTCACAGCTATGGACTTCAGGGACATTATGGTCACTATCCGGCCGCACATGCTGACACCATTTGTAGAAGAATGTCTAGTAGCTGTGAGTAGTTCTGGTATCCCAGCTGGAAAGACCTGGAATACAGATGTGGGATTCCTTTTTTATGTACCTTGACCATTCTGTGTGATATGCAGTCCATCTCAAGGATGCGTGTTTTAAATTCAGCTGTAGTTATCTACACATATGCAAGTTAACCCAAAGACAAAGCATGTAGATGGACCTTGGTAATGGCCTACAAATTAGCATTTTCCTGGCTATTTACAGTCACTCCATCATAGTAGACTGTGTCACTATGTCCGAATGCCATTGCATCCCACTTAGGATAGCCTTCTCAAAGAACTTGGTTTGTAATGTAAATTCTAAGCTCCTGAATGTGATTTCCAAGTACCTTGGACAACTTATGAACCAGAACATTACTCAAGGGCATTCACTATATATTTACTTGTTATACTTGATTGTACATTTTGTATCAGTTTGAAGTGCACAAACCGAATTAAATATTGCAATTCTGCAATTTCACTGAAGAAATTAAAAAAGGTACATTTGGTTTTGACCACAGTTTCTAACCTTAGGAATTTGTAGCAGCACTTTCCAAGTAATGCACAGCCTGGTCATATCCAGGTTTAAAGAAATCTGTTTTTCTTTGACTTGCAAGGAAGAATTCCAGGGAAATGTGTGAAGTGATGAGAATTGAAAAGTCTGACCGGAATTTTGGAAGATGCAAACAGCAAAAAACATAGCCAGAAGACTTAGGGACTGACAGTGAGATCTGATACTTCCATGGTTCCCTTGCAGTCTTGTTATCAGCTTTCTCAGGTCATATGCTCTCTCATAAAACATCAGATAAGATTTTTGATTTTCTCTCAAGGTCAATTAAATTTTGGCAAGCTTATGCATTTTTTTCCCGAAATTTGCTTCATCACTGATCTTGTAATTTAAGTAGAGAATTGATCCAGTAATTTTTCTATCTGCATACCCAACCACTTTAAAACAAAGGTTTAGTTTCAGTTCTCACCTGAGAATGAATAACTGTTTGAACCTTGTTCCCATTATGTTTGACTGCCTGATATAAGCCTGAGAGCTTATTGCTGGTTTTCCATGACTTGAAATGCCTGTGAATTTAAATGTTTCAGTTGACCTTTTTCAGAATATGTTTTAATTTTGTTGAAATTTTCTGTATAGTAATATGCTTTACATGTAGAAGTAGATTTCCTCATTATGAGAAATAAACCAACTTATGAAACATTTCCAAGTGAAGCGGTACTGAAACTTGAACTTTGTAAATTACTACTAGTTATTTTGTTATAATCCTGCATATGTATTTGTTTAGATTTGTAGGATGGGGGAGTTTTATATTCTGGTCATGATTAGTTTCAGTAACATAAGAATCTTTCATAGTTTTCTTTATTTTGCAGGTTTTTTAAAAAAGCAAGTCTGTGCTACTGTTGTTCTTGTAAAATAACATTTGAAAACCTTTATTTTGATATTTTTCTTAATCTTGTAACAGTCTCCTTTCCTTTTTCTTCTTTTACTGTCTCTACTCCAGGCTGCTGGAGGTACCACTTCCCATCAGGTCAGCTTTTCCTATTTTAATGGATTTAATTCTCTCCTTAACAACATGGAGCTCATTAGAAAGATCTACAGTACTCTGGCTGGAAATAGAAAAGATGTGGAAGTCACTAAGGGTTGGTAGAAATGTTTGCAGTCTGGAAGTTTCCTTGGGCATTTGGTTGGGGTGGATGGAAGGAAAGACCTCATCTTTATACTTTTAAATCAATGGGAGGGGGGAAAATCCTGCCTCATTAGCATTCCTTGGTTTGCCACTCAGTTTTGTACACTCCTGTTGGAGTCCACCCTCCAGGTTTTTCATTTCGTTTCAATCAGAAAAAGGTCCTAGTAAACTGGTGTTGGGGGCAGGGTGAGGAAAGTATGTAAAGATATTTAAAAGTTTCAAAAACTTCCTAGGACTCCTGCCAAATTGGCAGCCTATTAAAGTGACCTTCAAGGGTAGTTGAAGAATTCCATAAACTTGTATTGGCGGCACAGTAAGCTGATCTACAAGCTTGGAACAAGATGTTATCTGCTATATCTAACCACTTTTATAGAGAATTCCCTGTGCAGTGCCAGAGTTTCATTAATGTGGCCTACTGGGACTATGCATGAAAAGTTCCACATCCCTTGACTCCTGTTTTGGTTTTTTTTTTGTTTGCTTTTTATTTTATTTTTTCCTTCTGACCTGCAGCTGATTGATACCGTATGTCAGATATTCTAAATCCTGCTGGCAGCGCTAAGCTTTAGGACCAGAGAGTTGTACTTCTTTGCATGAAGAACAGACCATTTAAATCACACATTTATGTAGTGGCAAAACCACTTTTGTGTTAGGTCAATTTTATTCCCCTTTTACCCCCCTCCAGCCAGCTTCTTGTACTTTATACTAAAATATAGAGCAACCTTGGGGTGCTCTGGATTATTTCTTCTGGTTTGATTGCATCTTCTGTTCTGTATTTTTATTCTGTTGCAGAGGAGTTTGTTCTGGCAGCTCAGAAATTTGGTCAGGTTACACCCATGGAAGTTGACATCTTGTTTCAGTTAGCAGATCTTTATGAGCCACGGGGGTAAGTGAAGAATTATCTATCTTCCTCTCTTTCCTTTGCTCCTCTGTCGTTCTTGGAAGGAGTGGAAGGTGATGTTGGGGAACAGGAGAGTGTAGCATAGTGGCTACATGTGGGTAGCTTCTTGAGCTCTGAAAACCCATCTCTAAGCAAACACTAAGCTGAACTAATTTCCTCAGGCGCATGACGTTAGCTGATATTGAAAGAATTGCTCCTCTGGAGGAAGGAACATTGCCCTACAATCTGGCAGAGGCTCAGAGGCAGGTGAGAACAGAAGCTAATATAATGCTATTATTTGTTCCCAATGCCAGGTAAATAGATAACCAACTTTCTTCCATGTTGTCATCTAAGTTGCTTTTCTCTTGAGCTTTGCAATATCTATGAGGAATACCATCTTGTTAGAATTTATTTTTAACCTGTGTCATGTTCTTTCCATCTCTTCTCTGTGCCCCTTTCTCTTGGCTGTATTTTGATATGTCAGATGTAATTTACTTTGCAAAGATAAAATGTATAGGAGTGTCATCCCACCATTCAGTAAATATTAGGTGTATACTTAATTAGGGTGTTTATGTTTTGTGATTCTGTTGCTCTCCGTTCTTTTTAACGAGGAAAAGAGACTTCCTGCTTCAAATATGGATGGTAAAATTCCATATCTAGCCTAGCCTATTAAATGGCAGTCCTTGTTCTGAACGTACATGCATGTTCCTGGCTTCAGAGTGTTCTCTGCTTTGCCTTATGATCTACTGAATATCAAAATAGGAGAGATTACGTGTAGACTAACATCACAGTTTCAGTAAAAGCATTATTATTCTCTGCATTTCCAAAACCTATGGGATATTTACTTTCAGTGGTGTAACCACAAATGAACTTTTTTTTGTGTTTGAGGTGAAAAGAAATAGTAATGTTCTTTAAATGTCAAACCTGTTGATCTTTTAGCTTTCATATTACTTTATCGTATTTTAGATTTTCCTTGACACAGGTTTCTGTACAGATAGATTTAAAACTAACCCTTCTGTTTCTCTCTGTCTCTATTTTAAGGCAGTCTTAACTTTGTGTCTTGTGAGACCAAGGGTTTTTTTGTTGGTTTTCTTTTTTCCTGCTCTGGGTCTGTGCAGAGGCGCCAGTTTGACCACAATGAGTTGATGTAGGCTACATTTTTAGGACTACCAGGCCATAAGCCAGGCCTCTGTGTGTGTGTGTACACATGCGTCTCTTTTGCTTCTCTTTTTTCTTCTCCTCCTTCCCCTACATGTGAACACCCCCACCACCACTCCAAGACAGTATCTGGGGTGGTGGTTTGTTTGTTCAGTGACTAAATGTTGATGATGCTAGGATGAATTCAGATGAGTTGGCTTCCAAAAGCTCACCATCTATTCCTAGAAGACTCCTAAAGGAGTTAAAAGCATTTTCATTGGGCTGAATATCAAGTAATGTAAGTTACAATAGGTGGCGGTAAAATGTAGCCAGAAATGTGGTGATGAAAGTAACAGCTTCCTCAGTTTCTGCTTTGGGACCACTGTCATTGCTAGTATGATTTATATTGTTCTAAGAGGCTAAGACATATGAACCTGCTTAAATCTTACCATTTCTTCTGCATATGTGTCCTACCTTTTCATTTTTCCCACCCAGTTCTTTCTTAATGTCAACTGTTTCTTGCTGAGACTTGAAAAGATTTTCAGTACATTGATACCTTCAATTTATTTTCTGGCCAATTCCACCTACATTGGAATATTAACTAAAACCTTTTCAGGAAAATATATCCATATTTTTATTTTGTCCTTTTACTTGTAGTATCCTAAAAAGAACATATTACAAAAAGTGATAGTAAGTATGAAAGGTTTATAGCCCCTGCAGAAGTTCTGTTTTCCTTATTATTTTCTTTCATCAGATAGCAATTTTAAATCTGGAGCACTTCTGAAATTTATTTTTCATTGGGTTGAATCTAGCACTCATAGACTGTGAACAAAATGAAGTTGGGGGGTGTTTTATGAAACTTTATTTTCCTTTAGCTAATACATATGAATGGTGCTTGCACACTTGTTTTGATAGCCTGAGAAGTAATAGGTATACCTGGGTTTGGCAACAGTAGAAAGAAATTCCAAACTGGAGTTGCTTTTAGCTGCAGAAAATTGATGACTTAAGATGCAATATGCATGCCCTCATTTAGACCACATTTAGACCACTGATTTTAGAGTAGTATAATTTTGTTGTAGTATCAGTCTATTTTCTTTGTTATTCCAGTCTGAAGAGGCTGTGTTATATAGCACTCATAAATCAGTGAAAAAGAAATAATAATTGCAAACAAGATCTCCAGTGTATTGTGGGATTTTTTCCAGGTATCTGTATACTTAGATCTATCTGCTCATGAGATGTTCTCTTGTGAAATATGATGTTCTGATTATTTTTCTTGTCTTTCCTTTTGCTTTAAATCCTGCCCTGACAGAAAGCTTCAGGTGATGCGTCTCGACCTGTTCTCATCCAGATTGCAGAATCAGCGTACAGGTTTGCCCTTGGTTCAGTTGCTGGAGGTTAGTCACGGCTGAGCAAAAGAAGATTCATCTTTTCTTCTTGGGTTTTTTCTTCTTTGCCTTTGCCCCTCTTCCCCTTCTGCCTCTCATTTAAGTGTAGAAGGCTTCTCAGACTTGCCCTTGGAGTTGTGTCTGAGGGATGGGATGGCTATAAGATTGAAGATCATATAAGATCATTTGGTCTGCAAGAGATTTGGAATTTATGAGCCATTGGAATTTCCAGGTGGTGTTGCTATCTGATTTGTCACCAAACAAGTTTCAGGAGAATGCTATTAACAGTGAGGTAGGGTCAGGAAGTGCTTTTTGGTTAAAACTGTGGGAGGTATTTTAATGTATCCAGAATGTATCATGGAGAAAAAAGATACAACTGATATGTTAGATGTAAATGTGAAAGGTGAGAGTTGCAGTCAAACACTGCAAATGCAAACTCATGTTTTCTAATACCTTGATTTTTATTTGCAGCTGTTGGAGCCACTGCAGTCTACCCAATTGATTTGGTAAAAACTCGAATGCAAAACCAGCGTTCTACAGGCTCTTTTGTGGGTGAACTTATGTATAAAAACAGCTTTGATTGCTTCAAGAAAGTGCTGCGTTATGAAGGTTTCTTTGGGCTTTATAGAGGTAAGTTTAAAAGGTAATGATAAGATATTAATAAGAGTTTTGTGGCACTTTGGATTTTTAAGAATTTTTTGTTAAGACTTTAGTTTTGCCTAGTGTGTGCTTTTGCATCTTCTCTGTTAGAGGAGAAGGGTTTGCAAACTTATTAATAATTAAAACTTCATTGTAATGAGATCGTTTCTGTCCTGTCCCTCCTCATCTGCAATAGGGCAACAGTAGCAATTTCCTACAGCAAAAATATACTGTTAGTCAAGTTTTCATTTCCTGAGCAGTCCTTAGTACCAGTAGTGTTTTGTCCTGTTTGGTAAGAAGTTAGATCATCTGTGAGTATTCGTTGTATGTTTGTTGTTGTTGTTGTTTTGTTTGTTTGTTTCAGAGTTCTTTCTTATCTGTCTTCTTTCTATTTAAAAAGAAAATATGGAACCTTGTTATTAACCAAATCTTGCTTTGTGATATCTTTTAAACAAAAAAGGACTGTCTGAACCACTTGTGTGTGCATGACTAATCACTAGAAATAGTCATCTTTATCAAGTTTTATGTGTACCCTTCTTAGCTTGTCACTGTGGGGTCAACCAGAGTGATTCGCTGGGTTTCAACCCACTTGGCTTTATATATGTAACCAATATATGTAACCAAGTTTCAAAGTTAGCTGTTTCAAGCTGCCTTTGTAGGCAATGGAGAAGGCCCCAACATCCCTGACCCTGTTCAGGATGTAAATCATCCTCAGTTTGGATATCTTAGATCTAAATGCCTGGAGTTAGATGGTGGCTTTTTTTTAATTTATTTTTTCCTTGTCCCAGTTGTGGCATCAACTCTGTCAGTTCAGGTAAATCAGAAGGAGTCATAAAGAATCCAGCACTACTGCATGAGACTGCAGTTCTTCTCTGTCACAGAGTTAAAGTAAATTATATTTCTTGGTGTCCCAGTTATTGAGATCTTTTATCCCCCTCTACCATGTCAATTGAGGAGAACCTCAAACTTGAAATCTTTATTTAATTTTTAGGCAGAGAATTAATTTTTGCTTAGAAACTTTTTTTCACTTTTGAAAATAAGAGTATTGTAATGAAAGAAATATTGTAATGAAATGTAATTGCTAAAAGCAGTTGAGTCCAGAATGAAGAACAGAGAATTTTGGTAAACTATTATAATGATCTTGCAAAACTATGTGCAACTTAAAAAAAAATTAACAGTTTATAAGACAGTGTGGGAAACAACGTTAAAACTAGGTGGTGTGATGTATGTGCACTCTATCACATATGACCTGAGTTACTGGAGGTTGGCTAAATGGTTGTACGCAAAATACAGACTCTTTAATTATTTCAGCACAATTGGAGATGGGAAAGGTCTGTTATTATTTGACTGAGTTTGAGGCAATTATTGGAATAGATATAATTTGATAAGGAGTACTGATATGGTCTCTAAATTGTAAGGCTTTATAACAATCAGAATCTTTGAAAGTTCCAGTTTTTGGCTAAAGAACCAAATGTGTTCCCTGCAAACATATGTCTGCTTCTTCCAGGATCCTGAAAGAATAAATATACAGAATTCCACTATTACCTGCTTCTGTCTTTTTGAAACTCTGAAGCACAGGGCTTTTTTCACCTGGAAAACCCCTGAAAACTCAGAAATGTGTGTTCTTATCTCCATTTGCTTGCCTTGTCTTTGGAGTGATTTTTTTCATTGCCAGTTTTAGGGAGCTTTAGGAACCTTCACCATTATAGCTCATCCTTCCTTTCCCCATCCCTTTTACTACTTTTCAGTCTTCCAAGTAGTTCTGAATAGTGAAATCTCAGGGAGTTTAGTGGAGCTGAAATTCTAAACCCAGGCCAATAATCTAATTTCTGGATTATATAGTAGAACACCATCATTTTAGAGGCAAATTGAGACCTGTGTTTCTACAGATTCTGTATTTAAAGGGCACCCTGACTTACCTTCTCTTTTAATGAGTCAAATAAAGAAAACTCCTTAAAAATCTGGATCTTCCTCCATGGAGTTCTTTAAATTTACGCTGTTACTTACTTTCTAAGGAGATGATGCTGGAGAAAGTTGAGCAACCGAGTGCAGAAGGAAGTTTCCGGTTAAGCTTAAGAGGATAAGAACTTTGAAAGGAGCATTTTATAGATTAGTGTAATTACCCAATGTAATGCAGTATACATACAGCAAGAATCATCTTGTTCTGGTCTTGAATACTACACTAGATAAGACAAACTAGAGAGTACATTACTTTTTGCTACTCACCAGTAGCTGCAATTCTTTCTTGCACTGTAATCTGTTAAGACTTAAGTCAGTGTAGGTGGTTTTGTCCCCACTGAAGGAGGAAGTAGTCACTGTCAGAGTTCTCCTGCTTAGCTGAATAGTGATGCAAAACCTTTTAAAAAACAGTAGCAGAAACATTTGGAGCAGTGGTCCCTTTGTCATGACGCACTTCAAGGAAGCAGTAATTATAAGCCCCACTCTGAACTCAGGCATTTCAAATGATATTTTTAACACCAGGCACATATTTCCACCCAGTGAAGTGAATTGATTTTTCTTTTTTGTATCATTTTTTTTTCCAAACTTGAAAACCATGTTCTAAACCACCATCTCAGATAAGGATAAATTACACCATCTTGTGGATATAAAGAGAGCACTAAATTTGGTTTGCTGTCAATTTGGTATGAAGGGTAATCAACGTTTCCACTGAAAAGATACTTTGATTAAAACAAAACCACAAACCCAAACATGATATAAATCTCTGCAGAATTTTCATACTATGCATTATTTGAAAGCTGTGTTGTTAGATAACTTTTTTAAGACTGTATATTTGAGAAAAATTTTTTATCTGTCTATTTCTCAGCATGGCAAAAAAGAATAGTTATCTCACATGCCTGTAATTTACTACTGTGCCTGCCTTTATACCTGAAATGAATATTTAGAAACTCACAGATATATACGTATATATATACAAATGTAAGAAAATTTTGAAAGCTGTGATTTGTCAAGATCCCTTCCAACTGATGAGGTCACCTACGTTTCTTAATATTATTTAAATCAGAAGTCCACCTGATGAGTCACAGACTGCTTCACAGTCTTAAGCAGTGCATCTAGTAGAGATTGTTTCACCTGTACTTGATAGAAAATTTATGGGAAATTTAAGTACCAGAGATAAAATGTAGCTTAGGAAAATGTTTGGTAGCCATGCTGTTAATGCCACTTTGCCTAAAGGGTGGAAAAGACAGGAAATGCTGTTGAAGACACTGTCATCTGTGATCATTAACTGTTTAGGAGCTTGTTAGTTTTATTTTGATGGTGCTTCTGGCACTACAGTGACTCCAAATGCCATCTAATCTTAGATTTTAATAATTTATCATCCACCTTCATTATTACTGATGGCCTCCCATGCTAATGATACATCAAGACTATGGCTGAAGCTTTCCTCCCAAGTTATGTAACAAAGTATCATCTCTGTAGAATGGAACTACAAGTCTACTTGTACCCCAAGTTCTGTCAAAGGACAAAGTTTTCAAGAAATATCCCCCTTTCAGTCTGAGGGAGCTTTACTTGAACGGCAACTGGTGATTTCAATTTCTTGGGTGAATCCTGTAATGGAAAAATTTGGCAGTATTCCATTACTGCTTTCCTATAAGATGTCCAAATGGTTTCAAATATTTTACCTAGATGGAGCAACAACTCCTTCAGTCAGTGGGTTTTTCTAATATGAAGGGAAAATTACATCTGTTACACAGTGTGAAACTGAAGTTTCCCTGTTAGACATCTGAAAAAATACTTTGTCCAAATAAGGTTTTTTTTTAATTCAGTGCTATCACGACTGGGCTGGATGAGCTATTGTATATTCACAATGAATTTAGACTGCTTTCAGAAAATAACTCATACAGTGTCACAAACTGAAGGCAGCTCTTGGTGCTCTCTCTTGCATATACCTTCACCTTCCCGTAGAGTCCTACTACAACACTGTCAAATATGAAGGGGTACATCATAATTGCTACTAAAAAACCTTGGACATAAAAAATGCATTGAATAACGTGTTTGCTCTATATTATACTAGCAGGCTGCCTATGTGCAAAATGTTATTCTCTGATATTATAAAAGGCATGCAGTTTTAAGACACTATCAGACATTTCTAAGCCTGTTCTCCATCTGTGTATGTGTCATATTTGATCTGCTAATGCACAGTAACACTGAAAAATTTCTAGCATGTCAGGATAACTCCAATGGAAACATGACATTTTCATACGGGTCCCTTGATGTGCTTGCTTTCTTTCAAAACTTAGCATCTTTATCATGTTTAGAAATCTTTCAACAGTGTTTCAGGGCTCCCATCAAAACAATAAGGAAAAGAGAATTTAATTTTGATGGTCATAGCATATAGAATGCACAGGTACCACTTAAAGATGGCTTTATTGCATAGGTATGAGACCAAATGAAGGGTCCCTCTACCTTCCTAAGATGCTGGAGACAGTAGGCCTTGCTGATGTCTGGCAAGGCTATTAAAATGCAGTTTTAAAATCCATGCTACCTTTTTTAAATACTGTAATCTACCCTGCAGTAGACATACACAGCATTATCTGAAATTTAACTTACAAAGCACTTTTATATTATAAAATCATGTGTGAAGTAGAGAGAGAAAAAGAGAAAAATGGTCTGGGTTTTTGGTTGTCCAGTTGGGTTTTTCTGCTGTTGGATTATTTTTTTTTAACTACTACCTACTCTATTTAATCTTTCTCTTCTACCTTGAAGTTTTATGGAAAGTTTTGACTCATAACCATCCAATTCAGATTTGAGTGCAAAAGGAGTGAACCAGGTGGGAAAAAATAACTTGTGCCAAGATAAACCCATTTTCCCTGTGACTTTACAAGTGCCTTTACAAATGCAAAGTCTTGGGAGCTAAAAAATGAAAAATGGTTAAAAAGCCATCTTCAGATTAGTTCAGTAATTTGTCCTGCTTATGTTTCTTCTAAAACTGGAGATTTATACACATCAATAACTGGACTATTTTTATAATTTCAAATCTTGATATTTTAGAATATCTTTTTCTGTGATTTATTTGATAAAATATGGCTTCAAAGGAATGTTATATATATATATCAGGTGTAATAATATATGTATATGTGATTTTAAAATTAATTATCTGTATGTTCTTTTGCTTACAGACCTGCTCTAATTCTACTGGATTAGGGTTAGGATTAGGCAGTGTGCTTTTAAAGTATATGGAACATTATTTTAGTCTCTGAAGATATAAATTCATTAGCTGTAATGTTTAGGTAGAGCCACACGTCCTATAGCAAGATGTAAATATTATAACAATTACAAAGATAATTTTGCAATGAAAAAAATCCTTTCTGTTGTGTATTCTTGTGTTTTCTTCATAGTGCGGCATATAATGTAATAATTAATTGCACAGTTCTGAGGGTCTTAATGTTTATTCATTGAGGTCTGGATTCAAGTCACCTGTGCAAGTAAAATTGTTTAGAAATTCAAATTTTGAAATTTAACGTACTCTACAGAATTTCCTTTTTTTTGAGCAACTGTATGTGAACTTAGTGTTCCTTTTATTTTAATATTCAGTCATAACTGTCTTGGGTAAATGTTGCATGTATATGTACTGTATAAGGACATTAGTATATGAATATGTTTGGGCCTCCTGCTTCCACAAGTCAGATGGTGCTTTTCTTCAATGTCATTTCCTTATTAAGAGCATCAGTAGGAACTAGTAAAGCTGATGGATGGTAGCAGGATGGAACAATATACTAAACAAGTGCGAGTATATTTTTCTCTGTGTTATTCTGACATTTGGCTCTACAGGAAAATGCTTCTCAGCAAGTTAACTTTTAGAGGTGGAACCTTAATTGTCTGTTTTCCCAAAAATAAAACCATGGATAGGTGAAAATGTCAGGCTTTGTAGAAAATAGGCAAAGGTGCTGCCTGAGCTACTAAAACAAAAGGGTCTGTACTGGAAGCTCTAGCTGCTGTGATTTTCTCACATTTCTGGATGGTATCCTAATTTCATTATGCTGATGAATGCTTGCAACACCATTCTAGCCCCAGGCTTTGTTAGTAAGCTTTGCCTATTTTTAGTCTGTGTCATTCAAATGTTTACAAAATATCGACTGTTCACTTCAAGCAAGTGAAGCTGACAGTCAGAAATTCACATTTCCAGTTCTGTAGAGCATCACTTTTTAAGAAAATAAAATAGGAAATTCAGTGCCTGGGAAGAAAGTAGCATAACTTCCTTTGTTTTAAGAACTGATGATTTAGCGGGACAAAGAGCTCAAGAATGCAGTCATACACGTTTGAATGTTTTGCATTATTTTGATTCCTATTCCCTTGGGTTCTGCAATCTAATGCCATTGTTTTACCAGAAAAAGGTACTGCATTTATGGCATTTAAAGTGGGTGCATTGTGTATCTCACTAAATTCATTAGAAAGCCTTGATTTTTGTGTGAAGATGCAGAAAATAAATGTTAGTTTAGGACAGTACAGAAACATAGTTATCAAATCTGAACTAGTGTTCAAGCATAAAATGAGCTAGTATGGATATAAAAAGATAAAGAAAACAGTATGTATAGGCAGTGGTAGCACTTGAAGTGGTAGCACCAAGTTTGTTCTCAAAATTGAATGTTTAAGTACTCTCATTAAATATAATAGCACAAAATTGCTGTAAAAATCACCCATTTCTGGGTGCTGATCTCTACATAGATTTGTTGATTTGTTTATTTAAAACCAAGTTACTCAATGGCTTGAATTCTTTATTTCCACCTTACAGGTCTGTTACCACAGCTATTAGGAGTAGCACCAGAGAAGGCCATAAAACTTACTGTAAGTTTGCGAATGGATGGTTTTCACATTTCTCCACAGTGTAAAGGGCGTCAAATTACAATTAGCCTGTTAAGGATTTTTATCCTCAGTGTGTCAGCAAATGGTAGAGTGTATTCCTTCATTTCTGCTTGATACAAACTAAATTACAAAAAGCGCAAAGAAATGGTTAATATCTGACTTGTGAACAGTATAAGTGGCATACAAGTCACGTGCAGAGATATATATGTACATTTTAAGAGTCTTCCTGAAAACTTATTTTTGGACTCACTCCAAAATATAACAGGCTTATTTGACTTGTTCAGCTCATCTCCTTGTTTGTAAGTCGCGCAGGCCTTTAGTTTCACCTCTTAACTAATAAGAATAATTACTTATTGGACTTGGAGGGCTTTTGTTTATTATCTACATGTGGTTCCTGTACGTATGACTCTAGCACAACAGGAGATTATATGAGCATGTAGTCAATTGTTGGTAAGAAAGGAACTTGTTTGCATGGTGTTTTTTCTAAATGTTTTACTTCTGTAATTTTGTTATTTCTTAAGTGATCTTAAGGCAATGATGAATTTCTTATTATAACCCAGTTGTAATGTATTGTTTATTCACTGATAAGCTAGTATTCACCAAAATTAGCAGTATGAATTTAAAAAAAAGGTACTTAATGCTAATAATTGTATTACCTTAGTGTTAAAACTTAATATTGAACATTCTGATATTAATTTGTTATTATTAAATGTAGTGAGCACGCCTAAAATATTAAATTATTTTATATTTTTCAGATTTTAAATTTAATTAGTGAATTATATTTTTTCAATAATAAATATTTGAATTATGCTTCAAATTTTTGTTAGAAAATCATAGCTTTATCTAGGATTTGTTTGATATCTTGTAGTTTGGTAACTTTCTGGATGTATTTGCATTTTCAATTGCACAGAATTTGCAAATGATGAATGTTTTCTCTGACCTTTTAATTTATCGTCTTTTATAAATGTTTGTTTTTTAAGGTTAATGATTTTGTGAGAGATAAGTTTATGAGTAAAGATGGCTCTGTCCCACTGGCTGCAGAAATTCTTGCTGGTGGCTGTGTAAGTATCTTTAATTTCCTTCATATGAGATTAATGAAAGTGCGGTGTGTAAGATGAACTATGTGGACTAAGGCTTCTGTTTAACCACAGATCCGGTTCAAGAGCAGACTCTACTAGAGCATCTCAATTCTTTCCTAGATAGGCCAGCCATTCTTGATGAAAGGGTAAATGTTTCTGTGCATCATGCCTTTTAACTGTGCTCTATAATTCTCACAGCTTAGAGTTTGTTTCCGTAATAAAGAATGTGTCTTTATTCATGTTGGCTGTAGCTTATAGCCTAAAGAGGATTCATGCTAACCTTTCCAGAAGTTAATAATTAGTTACTACTTTGTGGCACCCACTCTGCCACGTCACTTCTTTCCTGATGTGTTACTGCACCCACTAATTTTCACTTTTTGCAGTGATACTTGCTTTTTGAAATGGCAAAAACTACTCATGCTTCTTTGAGTTCATAGCAGACGTAGGCTGTGTAATGTTAACTCAGTGCATAATGCATTCCTGAATGTAGGTTGTATTTAAAACCCACTAAGTTTTTAAGAGTGTTTTGCTTTTACAAAGTAGTATCTTAATGCAGAACTGGCATATTACTGGGTAAATGATAATTCTTCACGATTTAGTCTAGTTCTGTCTGTTCATATATATTACCGCTTACTTTATCTGGTGTATTGATTTGTTCAATGTAAATGTAAATACTTAGGTAGAATGAATAGTTGTTCAAAGAACAGTGCATTCTACAGATAAAGAACACTGTTTATTTAAACCAGCTTTGATCACTGGGGCAGAGCAATGTTGGTGTATTTTCAGTCTGTCTTTGTTGCTGCTGTCATAAGACAGATGAGGTCACATTTTCAAGCAGCTTCTACCTGTGTCGAAAACTACAGTGAGCAGCAACTTAAAAACAAATGCTTGTGTCTTAACCTCAGTAGATGCAGAGATCTGTGCTGTATGTGCTTGCAGAAAGTGAACTACGATTATCTGAGCCTCAGGGTGCAGTGGCTCAGTTGCATTGCAGGCTGAGAAGCCCTGGCTTTCTGTAATTCTCAGGAGATGGGGCAGGATTTGGCTGCTGTCTCACTGCTCCTTCTGTTTGATCACTGACCTGTTGTAGACTGCCAGGTAGGATCCCCTTGTTCTGTAACTTTAGGAGCATTCAGGGGAGAAAAAAAGAAGGGGAGGGAGAGAAGAATGTGGGTCTCTAAAGCCCTAAATGAAAAGCATGCTGTAAATGAAGGAAAAATGCAATAAAGTGCTTGCAGAGTAAAAAGTATTTGCCCCTTATACTAATAAAAAGTCTCATGAACGTAGCAGCCATAGAGAATTCAGCAAAATTTTCATTTAAAATGTCATTTGATCTAGAGTTTTTATTTTACAGACTGCTGTGAATTTTTTAATGCAGTACAAAAAGCACTCTTTATAGAGACCTGTCATTCATGAGAATGCTGCAGCAAGCTTTTTGCCAGTAGTTCACTGTAAACTAAGGATCTGCTTTAAGAGATAGGTGGTTTGAGATGTATTTTAAATGTGCTGTGAATGATGGCTTATTTGGTATTAGAAATTAATATTAGAAATTAATATTAACAGTGAGGTGCTGCATAAAGTTGTAGCAGTAGACATATGGTGGCAGAATGCCCTGAGTTTTCTTTTCAACTGGAATGCTCCACTTAAGGGCATAGTTTGGTGCCAGGTAGATAGGTTGTAACTTGTTTCTTGTGCAGGTGGTCTTTGGGGATTTTTTTGTAATTTTAAACCCAATTCAGACTAGCAACAGACTCACATTACCAGCAGTGCCTATTTTTTGGAGGTTGAGTTTTTTTCTCATGATGTAAAGATATGTGCAAAGTATGAGATGCCCAAGACAGGCTTTTTTCCTATAGCTTTCAACATTGTATTGGCATAACTTTTTGCCCCCATTTAAGCCATTGTGAAACCTGTGATTTCACTGTGGAAGCAGCAAGGACACTGTTGAATTCTTTTGAAAATTTTCAGTCTTGGATTTTTACCTAATTTCACAATGTAGTAATCGCTTACGTGGGAGGCAAGAAGACAGGAGTGCATAATGTGTTGGAGTTTAAAATGGAGAAGCCAACTAAGATAAGTTTTATAAGACACCTGCCCTACCACCTTTCCGCTTTCCACATCTAAGTCTCAGCTGGGATTGTGTTGCAAACACATATTTAAATTTTCCTTCTTCGGTGCTTCAGTTTCCTTAGAGTGTATTCATTGCTTGTGCAAGAGCTGTGTGCTGGGATGCATTCTAGATTGTAATGTTTTAGATACCAGCTTGTATTCACCTAAGAAAGGGAGGACAAGCAGATATTTGGATGGTTTGGGTTGTTCAGTAACACAAAGGGCTTTGAAAGGGTCAGTATCACCTGACTAGCTCCACTCTGCTGTTTGCCCAACCATTGCCAGGCGTTGACTTTTAAGTCCCCAAGGAGTTCGCTTTGCATCATAATTACTGAGAATTAGTACACATGGCTGACTTTTGCACTTGTAACTAAAGCTGATTGTTTCATTGAACAAGTCTTTTTCTGTTTTGTAAACTGTTTTCTCTCCTGAAAAAAAAGAAAAAAAAAAGAAAGAAGAAAAGAAGAAAACAGTTCTTTTATTTCATGACCTTGTGGCACTTAATTCAGTTAACAGCCTGTTTCATAGCTTTTTATTATGTGAAGATGAAAGCGATAGTTTGGTTGAGTTTTTTGGGGACCCCAAGAATATAATTAAACGTATAACCTTTATATTTAGGGAGGGTTGTTATGTAAATTACTAACTCAAAATTTCCATCTCCTTTGTTTGTAAGAAATTTTCCTAGTGACTATAATATTTGTTACCTACAAAAAATGTATGTAACTTTCATATTTGTGCAATGCCTGACACCCACCATGAACTGTGGTCTCTGCTGTGCATTTACGACTCTCATCCCTCATGCAAATCCTATATAGCCCTTATCATTATTAGGCTAGTGAAAAGCTTCAGTTCCAAGGCACAGTGTAATGATTACTGTAGAGCTGGGATCTGCTGTGCATCTAAATCACAACTCTGACTTAACCTTATTGAATGAAAATGTGCAAAAATATGCTAGGTTTGATTTCTGTGAATGCTATAACTTACCTTCGGGAGTTCTTTAATAAAAAGATGATCTTGTATAAGCTATAGGTACAACTTAAAATCTCTTTATTAGAGTGGCAATAATCTTGAAATTTCTGTAGCTTTCTTTCATGGTCTTTCACTTGATTCTATATTTTAAATAAAAAATAACTGTAAGTCATACCAAGTTTAGCTGCTTGCTTATTATAAACTTAGTTCACTTATAGGCTTCTGATAAAAGTACCCTGATTTTTTTTATGTAGCTCTTTTATTATTCCTTTTTTATTATCATTTTAGTTATATTAACCAGTTGAAACCTCTGTTTGTAAAAGTCTTGTAAATATTATATTTTGAGTTTTGAGGTATTACCTTTAACACTAATTTTTAGGTAAGGCAGTCATTTTACTTAGTACCTTAAATAAAGCATTTCCACATTTAATGAAAAATTTACATTTGTGTAACTGGGATAGAGATGCAAATATGCAAAACCATAAAACAGAAAAAATACTAAGAAAAACAGAAGTATTATAGGATGACTAAAAGAAATAACTATATAATACATGTTACCTTGTCTGCATATATCAGTACAATGATATAGGTAAATAGGAGGCTTAATTTTCAGCAAGAAAAGAGAAATATATTTTTCTTTATTAACCTTTTCTTCTGCTCTCCCTTCTCTTTCCCAGCACACACAGTGTTTTCATTCTCAGCTGCTCAGTGTGTGCTCACTATTAGCCAACTTAAATCATGTAGCACAGTACAATTACAGATCCCATACAGATCTGCTTGTATTTAAATTGTCAAGACAATTTTAGATGTGTTTCTAGAGACTTTATAGTAATTGTAATAAAGTTAAAACATATTGGACCTGCTTGGACAACCTCAACTCTGCTATGGAATATAAAAATTAGATATGGTTAAGATGTAGTGCAAAATCCTGTCCAGAATTAATTTTTATAAAGGAATGTCATGTGAAGTTCCAGATAAATTGTGCCAAATAACAGATCCAGTGCAAATAGTTTTATTAAGTGACTTACAATATTTATTTTATGTTTCAGAGAGTAATAAAGATAAGTCCACATCTGAGCTGCATTTTCTCTGTGGCACTGCAGTGGAGATAGAAGGTGTATAGACTGCAGTTCCCACACTTAGATCTCTTACTTGCAAAAATTCAGGTATTTGGAAGTTTCAGACTAAAGGAGGCTGAAGGTGTCATTCTTACTTTCATTATTCAGAAACCTAAATCTGATAACATTCTGTTATATTTGGCAAGGAAGGCTGAGCTGTGGGTAGAATGAAACTGAGCATTATATTTGTCAGGGGCAAAAAAATCTCTGTGTGTATATCTGAAAAAAAAAAGGCAAACAACTGCTGTCACACAGAAAAGTTTGGGTCAAGTTTATTGAGATAGTTAAGTAATGATGGTCATCTTGATGATTGCTCGTATTAGCTTTGAAAGCAAATGGCATATGTCTCTTGAATGCTTAAAAGATTTATTCTCAGAGGTCTATTCTCCCTGTGGTTAGGGAATGTAATTCCCATTACTTTCAAGGGGAGTTCTACCTGCATGTATATGCCCAACATTCACATCTGGTTTAAGCAAAAGTTCAGAAGCTCCTAAAACATACTTTTTTCCTTGATTAAATTTAAAGCTGTTTTCTTCTTGCATGAAATTTATGTTGTTAAATGAATTAATTAGATTTAAAGTCTGTTTAATATAATGAATATAAGGTAACAATATACCACAATTGATTAGGTATTTTTATAGTGTAGTTTTTTTCTCTGAACCACTGTAATTGTAGTTATTTTCAGAATACTGAAAATCCTTTAAACCAAGTGTATATTTTTGGCACAAAACCCCCAACTAGATCTGGACTTAAATTTTGCTGCTCTGTTTTAATTGTCTCTGATAA